AAACAGTCAATGTATGACAGCTTCTGACAGACAACACAACTCTGACGCAGGCACAAAGGGGATATGACGCCATGGACAGGCGAGCAGTGAAACACAGCTTTACCTGATTAAAATGACAAAGTTTGAACATTGTTGGAAACATTTGGGATAATGGATGTACACAACTCAACTACATACAGAACATACAGCCATCAGTCATAAGATTGTAAGCACTGGCAGTTGAAGTGAATAACACTGATTATCTGGTTATCATGGCTCCTGTCAGTAGGTTGGATAAATTAGGCAGCAAGTGAACTTTTTGTCCTCAAAGTTGATGTGTTAGAAGCAGGAAAAATGGGCAGCGTNNGTGAGGATTTGAGCGACTTTGACAAGGGCCACATTGTGATGGCTAGACTGGGTCAGAGCATCTCAAAAACCGCAGCGCTTTATGACCACCAGCGTGCCCAGGTGGTCATAATGTTATGGCTGATGGGTGTAGGTCTAGTGTTTATAGATATTGTAATGGGGAAATGTTACACATTATGGCTTTAATGCCTGTCATCAGGTCAGATTTGGTCGGATTCCCCTTGAAATCAATGAAATTATATGGTAGGTAGAAACACTACCACTGTTATCACAGGGGCTGCCAAAATCAGCACAAAATGAAAATTCCTTGTAGGGGCTTTCAGTGTTTCTATTAATTTACAAAATAAAATAATCTTCCAGAGTTTCAGAACTAGAGTGCTTTCGATCTCTATTTTTTAGACAGTCTGGGATTAACCATGACCTTCCTGTATGACCCCACTTCTTTCACCTCCAGGCTGCTGCTGTCCTACTTACACAACATACCCAAAGGTCTCTGTTGGGGTGGGATCTGGGTTAAACAACAGTCACGGCCATATTCCTAAACCACCTCACTACTGCCTCACTACTGCCTCACTACTGACATTTTATTTTATAACAGCTTAACTAACCATAAAGGTATGCACCTGTTCAGTGATAATGCTTAAGGTACGCCCTGTGCTGTGTGAAGTTTGATGGATTCTTGAATTCATGTTACTGCCTGCTACTGGCATGTCACAACAGACACCAGAATGTATTTTTTTATATCTAATCTGCCAGTCACCTACACACCCTATGTACACCCCCTCCACTTAAAGCATCCATAAGCTGTATGTAAAACACGCCTCTGGGTACGGAATTTACTGAGTTTGCTCTACAGTGTTTGCTGTTAGCTAAAAAACAGTCTCAACCATAAATTTCTATTAGGCCACACATCTCAGATAGAATCCACACATCAGTTAAATGTCTATACCCAAAGTTAACCCACTTATCAAGTGACCTGGTTCGTAGTGTGTTCACGTGAATATCAAAACTATAGAATAACCCAGTTAGGTTCATAATGATTTCTGATTACCCCTGTGTTAAACAGGCCAAGGAAAGCACTGCTTATTTTCATTATCATTCATTCTACTTTTTGGTTATTTGACAAATAAATAAGTCTATAAAACATCAAAAACTGTCAACAAACCCCATGCAGTGTTTCAAGAGCCCAAAGTAATGTCTTCATACATGGTGTCATCACAAAAACCCAAAGGTATTCATGGCTATGGCTGCAACTAACGATTAACTATGATTTATCGTTTGGTCTATAAAACGTCAAAAACTAGTGAGAATCACCCAGTCATTATGCTGCATTCCCAGCAAGGCGAATAAAATGATTTGTGTGAGTAGATAACATGCAAAGATGTATCAGATGTAACTAACTAACAGTTTATGTGAATTAGCTAGCTAATTCTATATTGCGATTCTGCTAAAATTGCGATTATTGTTCAGCTCTAGAAAATTGTCAGGAGGGCCACTCTGTATAGCGGTGTGTATTTTTAGCTTTCGTCATTTTCATACACTGAACCAGTTTATCAGGTTTTGCAGCCACTGTAGTTTCTCCTTCATGCTCGGAAGGCTGAGCTGCATTCAGATGATTGCAATCTGCAACTATACCACTAAATGCCACTAAATCCTACACACTGAACCTGTTGATTGACTAATATATTAATGGTATATTAACTAATTGTTTTAGCTCTGGACCAAACCTTTTGATACTATTTTGCTGGCAGACAGGACACCAAAGGTGGAAGGGGAGCTTGTGTGACCTGGTTTATTTGTGTTAACAGGGGGTTTAGTGAAAAAGCGATTAGCTCCAATTCCAAGACCTTAATTACAGTGTGGCCAGGAGCCATGTTACGCCACATACAACGTGTCATCAGCCTTTAATGGTTGGTTCATCTGGCTCACACATCACACCATGACACAGTGACTTCTATCACAGCTTATCCACGTCAAGCAGCTCCTGAACCATCTCCCCAAACTGCCTATTGAGGTTTTCATTCAGCATTACATCACTGTGCTCACTACACTCACTTATTCCTCATCATATTCTATCACCTTGCCCTTCCCCTTTCTGGACCAATCATCGACAGCGTTGCCATGTCCTGACTCTCCCGCATTGGCAGGGGCCTGCATGGCAACAGCCATGTATGGATGCACTTAGGCTGTCAGGTTAGGTTTGCCCCTGCCAGGGGCCACAGTGGAGGTTGCGCAATGTGGGAGGAAGGGGAAGGGACACGAACCAGGCTGAGTTGAGCTGGGAAAGCATGAGCACAGCTGGGCCATTTCAGCGCCAGTCAGGCAGCAACAGACTGGGGGGATGGGCACCATCACGTTCTCTGTTCAGACAGAAACACCGTAGGAAGAGCTGTGTTAGAGAGGACATGATCAGAAATATGCTCAGGATCGTGTCCACAGAGAGCCGCTCTTATGTTAATAGTGTGTAAGTCTGTGGAGGATGCTTTATACTAAACCCTGGAGCTGGAAAGAGAAGCAGTCTCCAAGCAGAGGTTGCCCTGGCAACAGTGACAAATGAGAAGATGCCACAATGCAGTATCATGGCTCCACACTGGAGGATAGATGCTTTCTAATTGTGCTGATGAGGCCTGTTGCAGTAAATGAATACCCCTCCATACTGACACACACAGAGGTAAACTAGAGCATTGCAGTAGTTCAGAATGTGGGTCACACATGTGAAATCATCCATGTATGATTGTATCTTTACTCTGTGGTATAGGATGGCTGGGCTCATTCAGTTCATCCTGAGGTTTATCAAATGTTGTTAATTTTTTTAGCTTCTGTCTTCTTGTCTTTTTTCTTTTCAAAGTGTGTGTGTGTCAGAAGTGT